AGTTACATGGCTGTGCACAACATCACCTAACTTTTGAGAGATGCCATTTAGGCCTTTTGTACATTTTGATCCTCAGAGACCCACACAGATTACATACAAGCCCCTCTTAAAGGCTGGACTAGTAAACATGCAGTTTCCACATCAACAAGACCAAAATGAAGCCGTGTTAACGCTCATTTAATGTGTATGTCTGGCATAGGCGGATGCTTATGTGTCATCTTAAATCCGCGGTGCCTTTATGAATATTCAGTCCAGCAATGATGGGGTGTGCTGCCCCGAAGGGAATGAAGTGGAGTGGCGGAGAGTGTTTATGACTGGAGTTAAGAAAATCATAGAAAATCTGGATTATACTAAGCCTTACTGGAAGAAACACGCTTTTAAGCATTTAGTAAAAAGCTGATCTCCTTAGGTGTGTTTTTGTAAAGAAGTTCACGGTGTTAGTTTTACAGAAACTTCACAGTTAACCATTTGTCTTTCCCTCAGTCTGTGGTTTTTCCAGCTTCCACATTTAAAATGTGACTACTGCGAGATTAACTGCAATAAATTCTGTGACTTTTAAGAATTTACCTAAACAACTCTGGAAATGTTAATTCAGTACTTCCCATACAGTAAATACCCCTGAGTGTAAGAACATCAGCTTGTAAAAGCAGTAACGTTTGTTTTCTCACCAATGGCTGCAAGAGCAAAAATCAGATCTTTCTGTCTCACAGCCTTGATTTGAGAATTCTTCTTACTGGTTGTTTCTAGATTCATTGTCTGACCAGAAGTATTTTCTTTTTCATTTCATATCTGACAAATATTGTGTGACTGGTCAGAAATTTGAAGTGAGAATGGTTACTACAGTGACGAAAGCTGCAGTTGGATGGACCTATGATGACTTCCTTCACTTGAGTTCTTCTAAAGAACAAAATGTCCTTGTTCTTGTTCCTGCTACCTCGACAAAATGAACACTTTTCTCTTTTCTTGCCAGTTACAGACCTTTGACATGAGTTTGGAATCTATTAAAATTAGACTTTAATGTTTGTAATAATGCTTGGATCTATACCATAACAATGAGCAATAATTAACCACAATGGTTTGATGATAAAATTAACTATATTACAAGTTTAAAGTTAGGCTTGAGAAACACCATTTAGATTGGAATTTAGCTTGATATGGTAAAAAAAAAAAAAAGGTTCTGTTTTTATTAATTGAATCCTATAAAACATTTTTTGTTAGTTGAAACATAAACACTTATTATATTTTGCAAACGTTTAATTATATAATCATATTTAGACAAAAAGAGCAACAATAATAGTTAAAGCAAGTAAAGTAGTGCAGTATCCGATCAAACTGTACATACAAAATGGCAATAATGTAATTACAATGTTAACCAGTTATTTGCTTGGCAAATAAAACAAAAAGCCAAATAAAAAAAAAATTAAATTTCAAAGTCAAATCTTTAATCATTTAATCTCCAGTAAGGGGGAAGATACTGAAATTATCTTCCAAAGTGATCAAAGCTAGTCTTGGTTAAACACAACCAGGTGGTAAATATGCATTTCCTCTACATTAGATTGTGTTTTCCTTGGGGTAGATCAGTAAGAGGAGCTGAATCATATTCTCCTCTTCCTCCTGGGGGATATTTAGCGTTAGCCGCTCCCAAGGCAGCTGAGGAGATAAAACTCCTCCTGTGGGACCTGAATCCTCCACACAGTCTCAGCTCAGATAGCCTTGCTTTATAGAGCTCTGAAGGAAGGCCAGTAGCAGTCTACTCAAATGATATCCTGGTTTTACTCTCTATTTGTTCCTCCTGTGTATGGATTCTGCCTCTTCTGGTTGTACAGTTCCTACTAAGCTTCATAACAACATGCTGAGATCTTTTCCTGAACAGAAACTCTTGGCTCAGTTTTTAAATGTTTGCATTAAGGATGAAATGATGCTAAAATAAGCTGCAACAGACAGAAGGCTTCAGAGTCAGGTTATGATGTCTTGTGTCAGTGATCACACTGAAGCATTAAACTGGTAGCATTGCTTTAGGTCTAAAGGCTAAGTAGCGCAAAGTAAAAGTCTTTCGAGGTTTGCTGCAATTTCTCCTCAGTTTTATCAGTTTTCCAGTGCAGTAGTTCATGCTCACCTCCTTGATATTCCTGTCACAAGTGAATGCATTAATGTGCCGAATATCAGAGCTCACAGGAGACGCACTCAGAAAACGATTCTCCGCAGCCCCTGGGCCCATCAGCAAGGCTGTGCAGGAGAAAGGCTGAAGAAGGTTTGTTGATTGATTAACTGTTTGTAGCAAACAACTTTGACTGTGACTGACTGACGGCCAGATTTGTCCAGATTTACGCTCTCTGCGGGATTATTCAGGTTCTGAATTCATGATTGTGCATCTTCTTTTGCTCCCAGCACACATTTAGCAGTCTTACCACTCAACAGCCTTGGCTGAATGGAGGACAATAATCCCCTGACTAACTTCTCCTCTGTAGCCAATTGGCCCATGACTGCATGAAGACCAGGATGATGCTGGGGAGTACGGCGAGCAAGGATGATTGCACAGGGCTGCTAGTTGGGCTGTGGATTAAAGGAATCTGCAAGAAAGAAATCAGTCTGCAAGGCAAAGATTTTAGCAGACTTCCACCACCACCTTTCTCGTTTAGTTTTGTCTCCCTCGCCATCTCTTGTTCCTCCTCCTCCCTCTTGTCTCATTCTCTCTGCTGCCGCGCTACCAACACTACTCTGTAATTTAATCCATTTAGTCATGGCTCCAGATCAATATCCATTTTCCTGAGCCTCAGGGAGAGCTGCTTGAATATGCTCGTTCCAAGCAGCGGTGGCGTTGGCCAGCGGGGGCTCTGATGGGCCCGAGGGCCGATGCAGACGTCCTACACTACACCATCTGGGGAAACAAAGCAGAGTTAAAAACCCTAGCTGCAGATGTTAGATGTTGTACTGCACAGCTTACCTTGTTTGCCAGTGAATGACATCAGATTCAGTTAAGTCTGATTCGATTAGGGGGGTCTTGTCAGTGACCAGGAAGTGAGGTGGAATTACTGTTATTTCAGCTCCCTGCAGGATTGATTTACTGTCAGCACAACACAAGTGCGGCTACTTTAACTGTACAACTGTACAGCATACATTTACTGACAAGGTTGTTCTTGAGACCATCAGCAAGATGTCGCAATGTGAGTAGAAGAAGTTGCTGCCATTGAGTAAAATGCTCTGAGTGTAGATACTGTAATATTTCCTGCTGTTCCACTTAAGAATAAATATTCTGCAACCCGCTGTGCGGTCGCCCGCCTGTGGCCAGCTGACCGCACAGCTTTCTCCTTCACCTGCTCCACTCTGCCATGTTTTATAAATATCCACGTTAAATATTCAGCTGTCATTATTTGCATGCAAACCATTATGTATTAAAAGATGAGCTCTCTAAAGTCAAAAGGACAGGCACAGTTTACGTGATGGTCAGCAGCGAATCAGATAATGAGTAACTTTAAATCACGTTAGTGGTCATAATTCAGCCAGCTTTACTGGTTATAAAAAATCAAACATTCTGCCTTTTGATTAGTTAATTTTAAAGGTAGTTGACAACGGATGCACAGCAGAAGCTGTGTATGAATTTACAATTGTCCTTGCTCATTATCGTCACATTTTAGTGGCAAGAAATAAAATTAAGTTGCTCAGATTCTGACAAAACATCTACATTTTAACATCTCCATCACCACCAATACTTTAAATTGCATTTGATGCAATTTAAAGTATTTTTGGACAGCCATGAAATAGAGCCTAATGCCATGTTTTGAATCTAAGACACTGAAACTCACAGGAAGCCATCTTGTATGTTTTAGATCTCCAAAAGTGTAAATCTGGAAAAACCTTCAGCTGCTCAATATTTAATGTCTAACTTCACCTCCAATTTAAGGACTTACATTTTTAATCAGAGTCCTCATCATTTCCAACATATGGTTCTCATCCATGCATGCATATAAAAGTAGTGGTGACCTTTTTGGTTTGGTTTGGGTGTAAACGATTATTTTCCCTTATTGCTGCATCTCGGCCATCTCTGTAGGTTTTCTTTGCCCTCTAATCTATTTTTGCTCCAGATATTTTTTTTTTTAATTTTGCTTGAACCTTACTCTGTTTGTCTTCCCTGTGCTTTTACTTTGTGGTCTGTTTGCCCTTTTTCCCTTCAGAATAAAACATATCACTTTTCCTCTGAGCTTCAGTGTGAGCAGTGAAAATGTCTATTCCTGCACAGGATGAAGGTTGTCGGTTTACAAGTCTGGTTAGTAGGGGCCTCTATGTGTGAAGTCATATTCCCCAGTGCCTGTGTGGCTTTCCTCTGGCCACCTCTGACAGAAAAATGTGTTCTATAAATTGCCTGTAAGCTGGAGGTTGAGAGTGCAAATGTGTGAATCAGTCTGCTTTCGTTAGTTGGAGTTTGTCACATGAATGGTTTTGATTTTTTTTTCTTTTTGCTCTTGTAAGTATGCAATTGTCCAGTGTTATTAATCTATTTCTGCATTTAATGTGCACAAACATGCATGCTTGTTCTTTTGCATCACTCAGAGGATGCATGCACACAATATCTTGTGATATTGTAGATTTATTGCACACAAAGATATATGTCTCAGCCTAATATTCTTTTTTTTTAGGATATATAATAATAAAGTTTTCAAAAACCGAAAAGTTTTCATTTTGACAGTTATGGGGAAATGTTCCCCTGTCTAGCAGACAGTCACAGGCACCCTCCGCAAAGATGATAGGCAAGAAAAGGTCATTGTTAAAGAGGCTGGCTGTTCACAGAGTGCTTTACCCAAGCATATTAATGGAAAGTTCAGGGAAGGGAAAAGTTTGGAGGTAAAAGGTGCACCAATAACAGAAGGAAAATTGAAATGATTCTGGAATAGCGCCCATTTAAAAGTTTAGAGGTGATTCACAAGGCATGAACCGCAGCTGGAGTCAGAAATTCAAGAGCCACCACACTCAGACATTTCCAGGACATCGGCTACAACTGCCACAGTCCTTCTGTTAAGCCACTTATTAACCAGAAACTATGTTAGAAGAGTCTCAGTTGCACAAAAGAGAAAACACATTGGACTACAAAGATCTCTTCTCTTCTCAGATCAAAGTATAATTTCTGGTTCATTTTTAAATGGCAGTCTGAACGAAAAATAGGGAGCGACAGCAAATGTGTGCTGTAAACAAAGCTAAAAGTAGCCCAACAAAATATCAGAAAGGGTGATTTTTATTTAGTGGTGACTTTTTAGAGGGTCAGGAGAGTGTTTTATTCTAATCGTAAGAATAGTTTGATGATCTGAAGCATTTTGCTGTTCCAAAAATAGCAAAAATAGAATGAATTTGTGAGGATGCAAATACATTTACACATCACTGTTTATAGTTCTAATTAGAGCAGGAATACCTCTAAACTGCCCTCAGGGTAGACAGAGCTTTACAAGATTTACTCAGATGTTCCTAAGCTTTCTGGGGGTAATAAAAGATAGATCACAGAAACTTGGACAACTAATATATGTAAACTTTGAAACCGCTGTTGTTCTTATATCACCGTGAGGAACTGAGATATCCACAAAATCTGTCACTCTTTGAGTGCTACATTTTCAGAAAACACTGGGATGCATTTGGAAGAAACTTTCTGTCTAAGTTGCAGTGGGTGTAAATTTCCAAAAGGAAAATATGCAGATTTTTCAAACTTGAGTGCTTCCCTTCCCTTTGGTTCTATTCTCCTATGTGAAGTTAAAGTACCGACCAAAAAAGTGCAGAACATGCAGTTTTAGCCATGAGGGATGTGGATTGTTTCTCCTATATTTTGGTCACGATTAAAGTTAGAAAGTAAGCTCCCTGCTGAATGAATTATTCAGCCCTTTAAAGCAAAGCTCTATTTTGAGATTTTATTTCCATTAGAGTTCATGTTTTGTCAAACCACTATCTCTTACAATCCATTTTTCTCAGTTTCTATACTTGTAGCTTTTACTGACTGGGGTTTTCAAACAAAGTAGTAAAATTTCATTCACACCAAACAAAAGGAACGCTGTAAAAAAAAAAATCTCTGTGATCTCATCTTTTATATCAGACAGAAGGGAGAGCTTGAGTACCATAGCGCTCGTGTTGCCTTTTATTCCTGCAACAAGTAAAATTGCTTCTAAAAATGGTTACAATATAGAGAGAAGGGCAGAATCTATTTAAAGAAGAAGAGGTTTCTTATTCTCCAACTCTTTGATGTTCAGAAGTTAAAAAGGCTAAAAGCCTTTGGGCAGGCTCTGGATATCTGAAGATGAAGACAGATTTAGGCTTGGCAATAAACTCTTTTGAGGCCAGGTAGAGAACCCGTTTTGTTCTACAAGCAGCTCAGTGCGACAATAAAGATAACATTTTGAGGCTTGACTATGTCAAAGATCTCAAAAATATATTTTCCTGCAGCTGTCCGCGGTGATGAATGTCTTTTTTCCCAATCTGCATTCTGAATCTACGTTGAAGAGCTGGCCCATAATGGTAATGGATTGTCCTCCACTTTCCTGAGAATGAATTTCCTGATTCAGAGCTGAATATATTGAGCATATCTGATTGATTCATGACTGCCAATACCATTAGTATCATTTAGACGTACATCTTCAGTACCAGCTGGATATGGAGCTTGTCAAGGACAGCTATTATGGTGGCGTTACACTGGAAATGACCTGGCTGTGGACTGTCAGTGTTAACCGTGGATTAATTATCCAACGGTCTCTTTTCTGCTCTACCTGCTCTCTTCTCAATCTTTCTCCAAACTGGTCTTTTGGCCCATTCTGTCATTTTAATTTAAAGGGATAGCCCAGAGCTTTTGAAGTGAGGTTTTGTGAAAATAGTACTTTTAAAGTCCTGTGAGGAAGTGTTTTCCCACGTGTAAATTGCTTCTACTTTTTCTTCCATTCCATTTAAATGTTTCCACAAATCAAATTAAAGTTAACATCAGACAAAAATAACCTGTTGAAATAATTTCATTTACTTTAGGAAAAAAGCCACTATTGATGGCAACTTCAGACTCAAAGAGCTTCACTCATTGTTTTATTGTGAGAGAACCAACCTGACATATGGACATTTGTATGCTTCTTGCTCACATACAGTGTCACGTGTATGTGGAAACACATGTACACAGATGGCTGCATAACACATAAATATCTGTGTTTATATGCTGCTTGCTTTGATCCTAATCTTACCATGTTATATTTGAAGGTTGATTTTTATCTTTGTTTTGTTTGTTTTTGTTTTTTTTTGTTTTTTTTGTTTCCAACAGCGTCATGCAATGCCTTGCAGCTTAGGAAACAAATTAACGTTTCCTTATCACACCGAACCAATGATACGTTTTCCCTATGCATCGTGTGCTGGTAAAGTGCTGCAATAGCGTGACTTTTTTGAGTGTGACAATTGGTTGCTTGGGAATGAATGATTGCTATCTTTTCTGAGCTGGCACAGCAACACTGCTCGCTTAAAGACACCTGACACTTATCGCACTGTTTGTCAGATTTCTCATTTCTGAGTCTTATTGCTTCATGGTGAAAACACAAGCAGAAATTGGAAAGCAAATTGCAAGTGAGAGAAAGAAATCTAAAAAAAAAATGAGGGAGAAAAACAGTGATTACAAAAGTGTTGATCTAAAATAAATTATGGCTAAGTATACATCCATGTTTGCAGTTTTATGAATACTTAAGAAAATACAAGCAATGGTGATAAAGTGTTCACCAAACTTGAATAGAATTTTTTGTATAGATGCAAACTGTTACAACGCAAAAAATGAAAAATTTGTTGTTATGCAAGCAGAAATAGATGGAAAAGATGATTACGTTTTCATGCCAGCAGCTTTAAGACTAGATATATTCTATTCTGTAGCTGTTTGGTTTAGATCTGATTTTGTTGACAAGAAAATGAGACTGGTTTTGAATTATCTTTTGAAATTGTCTCTGTCTTCACCCTCATGCTTTTTGAAAAGCACAAAACGTTGTTCAGTTTCATTATTACAGCTGCTTGTACACAAAATTACTGACATCCGCATGTAAAATTGACACCAGTTTTATCAAATTTGAAATTTAATGGATTTCATTTAATAGCTATTTTTTTGTAAAACAGGTAAGGTAAGGTAATTTTATTTATATTGCACATTTTCAGCAACAAGGCAATTCAAAGTGCTGGTAAAACAGGTAAACAGGTGTTTGACCAAATTTTCACTTAGAGGTAAAAAGAAAAAGTGTTTCATATATAAAACATATTTACAGATGTGTCTGCATCAAGTATTCAAAAAAAAAAAAAAAAAAAAAAAAAAAAAAAGCCGGAGCCCCCCGTGTTAAAAAAATAAAAAAAAATATTTTTTTGGGGGAAAATTTTTGGGGGGA